GTCATGAGGATACAGGTAGGACACTTGGAGGTTGATAATAGAATGAAAACTGAGTGGTGATACGAAAAGTAATACAGAGACTAGTTGTGTAGTGGATGTTATTATATCTCAAAACAAAATGGCCGCATTTCATATAATTAAAAAAATTGTTTTTTTATAGATATTATATATATATATATATATATATTCATGATATATTATATATATCATGAATTTCCCCTAGGGGATAAATAAAGTATCTATCTATCTATCTATAATGAAAAAATATGTATATTTAGTAATGAACAACATAATTTCTTCATGATGAAGCCTTTCATTTATAAATTTGATTTATCAATTTGAAGAATCACAAATTTAAATTCAGGAAATGGCCAGTGTGTCACAGAAACCATGGCAACTAAGAAAAAATATAGAAAACTGCAGACCTGTTATAACTGTCTGCTTGAAAGAAGAGTAAGAAAATAAAAAACATTTTTTGTCCTAAAAATGTGATGTTTGTAATAAAAAGGAAATAGGGTCATCCACTTTGAGTCTCCATCTATGCTCAAAGAAATAAAGTGTTTATATTACAGACTTTGTTCAGTAAATTGCCTTCATAAGGTTGTCGACCAGGTATCAGTTGTGATAAAATATTTAGGTTGATATCAGGATTTGTGATACTTGTGAATTATGGACTGACAGAGTGCAACCACTGGCCTAAACCTGAATGAATAGTAAACATAAATCAACAAATCTTTTTCACAGCAGAACATTTTGACTTGTCACAGCAGGAAAAGCACAGGTGTTACTTATAACATTAACGATGGCTGTGGTATAAGTGCCCCAGTATCAGGACCCTGGAACCGTAGCAGCTAAATGGAATTCAACCATCATTCATTTTTCATTCACATCTTTTTACACCTTATTTATTTTTTGCTTTTTCTACTGGTTCCTACTGTTCCATGTCTAAATATCCTCTGACAGACATTTTTCACAGCACAGTCTGACTTGTAATTGCAGGGAGAGCCCGAGTAAGCTATCCCGTTAAGCCAGCCTACGCAATTCCCGGAAATTGAATGCAGCAAACATTAATCTTATCCGTTACACCTGAGGATTTCCTGCCATGACATGTCATAACATCAGCCGTGATTTGGACAGCTTCAGAAGTTGTGGAGACCCACCCACAACTGTATAGCCCAGGTGGTTTCAAAACAGACTTGTCAGAGAGTCGAACACAAAAAAATATCCCACATTAACCACAGTAACCTAATAAAAACATTCTCAAATGAAAACATCTTTAAAATATGTTTCTGTCAAAGAATTCAGGTGTGTTCACACAAGTTAACAAGTAGACGCAGACTGATGTAAAATCAGTGTCTTTTTTAAAATTATGATAAAGTAACATATAAAACGTGCTCACCTTGTCCTGTCCCATCCTTCCTCCAGGTCCCAGCCTCAGTCAAGCAGTACACTGTGGCTCCAGTCGACAGCGCTAGCATCCTCCTGGTCATCGAGGGCGACGCCACGGCAACCTCCGCCGCTGCTCTCTCTGATGTCACTCTGAGGCGGGGCACCGTCCTGTTTGTCTCAGCCAACGAGAGCGTCTCCCTGCATATCACCTCTCCATCAGGGATGCACATGTTCCGAGCCTGCTGCCTCCTGTAGTTGTGAGTTTGTGGCTGTGTGTGAAACTTCATACTACCTGTTTGTTTCTTCTCTGGTTTGACTCAGGAAGGTCTAGACTGAGTTATGGATTGAGCCCGATGACTGATGTGCACTTTTTAGTGGGTAGTATGTTAAAGGAGCTTTCAGGCACAGAGTGTTGGTGCCCATCTGTGCCCGCTGCTCCCCCCCTTACCCAAACTCAGTGTGCGGACTGCTGTGTCCACCCTGTTTACCAGCAGCAGTGTTTTTTAGCTTTAAAATCCAGCTGTGATCCATTGCTGCTGGATTTGAACAGATTTTAACCAACTTTTTTTTACCTGTAATGGTGCAAGTGCAACATCCTCCACAGGAAAAGAGGAGGATGTACACATCCCAAATTCTTGTTAGGTGCTGGACAAAGGACACATACTAGGAATAACAGTAAAACAGTTGCCAGTTGATTAAATACACCAAGCTAAAATGAATGCAGTCCAATGCAGTCCTGCAAGAAATTCTTCTTCATGAAGTGTATAATACTGTTTTAGAGATGTGTTGATTCAACTTGATGGTCATTGTGGAGGATGTAGTGGTGCTGTTGTTGTATTACATCGTATAGAGACGTGTTTCTGTCATTTAGCCTTCCTTCATTGATAAATGGCCTGGACAAAATATTAGAAACATCCACAGCACCATGACCTGCAGCCTCCAAAATGATCACACAGCTGATCCAGTTGATCTCTAAAACCACACATTATACCCTTCTCAAAGCTATGCTTAATTGCAGGACTGTTGTATTAGACTGCATAAGTTGTAGTTGTAGGTGTTCCCAATAAACTGGCAACTGAGCGCATGTCTGCAACACCGAACAGCTTCCTTCATATGCACATGAAGTGCACACAGCACTGTTCGGATCGCTTAACCCTCATCAGGTTACTGATGAAGAACCTGATTGTTTATGATGAAGTTCAAGGGATCAAAATGTTGAGTTAAAAAGTTCAGTATCGACCTTGGAAACAGCAGCTGAGAAAACAAACTCACCACAAGACCAATCTAGTTTCTGTTCTGGAGCCTAAAGTGAAGCATGTGAAGTTCATGTCAATAGGGAAAACACTACCTGCTGATGATAGAAATCTCTAGAGCTACTAATAAACCTTGGTGTGGTTGTTTTCTTATTGGGAGCCCTTCGCTGTTCCAGACATTTTTACTCTTTATTCAAAGTACACTTAGATTTCTTATTTTTCAGTCTGGGATAAAGATAACATTCACTTACAGCGACTTAATCAAACAACAGGGTGTGGGGTATATGTTTACACTGGGGCAGTACACAACCTCTCACTGCTTTGTACATCTATGGTACCACCTTGTTGAGGACTGAGCACGACTGTTTTATGGGCCAGAAGTTGTCTTCCCCCAGGGTCACTGGTGCAACCACCTGTTTTATCATCTTAACTTTAGCCTGAACAAGTAAATATCCACCTTTTGGAGAAAAAAAATCAAAAAAGACATTGTTAGTATAGCAACAGTTGAGAGTAGTGTAATTCTGAGATGCTTGTGCATGTTATATTTAGAGTAGTAATACAGGAGAAGGGCTTCTGTCCTGACTTTGACAATGGTACTAGCCACTAGTCACAGTGAAGTTGACCCTGCTGAGTATTACTGCATTTAACTGTTACCAGCGCATGTTTATGGTCTGGAAACTTCTCATCAAAGTAGTAAACAATCATAGAGATTAAAAAACAAAACAGGAGCAAGCAAGAAGGGCCGCTACCGAGATCATATGGCACGATGACATGGGAATCAGGAATGCATATTGATTAAAACTTCTTCTTCTATATGACTAAAAATGCACTAATGCTGCTTGTGGAATACTTATACAATTTGACCCGAGCCCGTTAACACATCCATGTATTGTACATTTGTACGACAAAATGCTGCATAGGATTTTATATTATTATAGGAATAAACATGTCTGTATTTCTGAGTATTTGAAGCCAAAATTTTCAGACTTTGTATGTTTTGCTGTTTGTACTGATCCATCAATATGAGACATTACATACTAAGAGAAAAGATCCCTGAACTAACTGTATTATAAGATTTTACCTGTACATTATGAAATCATGGAGCGAGTGGTTTATCTTGTTTTGTGGTGACCACTTCAACATGTTGGTACAGTATTGTTAACTAGATTATTTCAGTATGGTGCAAACTTCTGCATAATATTCCAGTTCACACCAGGGTCGATCTGAAATCAATCAATCACGAAGTCATGGACTTTCTTGTTGTAATAGTTTTTATAGGCTATCTTCAATCAAATATTTGAGAATGAATGCTCTATCAGCCTGCCAGCCTACCAGTGACTGACTACTGTATGCTCTTTATAGTTTGACCTGAATGAATGACCACAGTGTACTGAGCCAACCCTGCTAAAGCTTTTACCTACTTCATGACCATGTTAGTGATGTGGGTTGTTCCCTGAGCATGTTCGTACTATAGATGCACTAAATCATAGTTGTTTGTTGTTGCTAAAATGGTTGAAAATTGAAGAATATTAAGAGATTAGAAGAGTGTTAATAGTTAAAATCACTACATCGCTTTGATTAAAGAACCATTACCTCAAAATCATCCGTCCATATCTCTGAGACTGTAAAGTCTCCGGTTATTTTTGTCAATCAACAACCTGTTTGCCATCTTTTCAAAATGATTTAATTTAGTCATGTAGTCATGTAGTCTTGTCACTGTTTAAAAAACTGATTTAGAATTTTAACTTTTAATTTAACACATCTTTGTTACTGATGTTATTTTAAATCACCTTTTAGTTTAAATACTGGACTTTGCCCAGAGATTATTTTTGTTTTTAGGGTTTTTCTTTCCACTTTTAACTCATGTCCTTCAAATGCACACAAATCTGAAGGCCACACTGTTTTAGTTTAATTATTTTATTGAACCATTGTGAGGATATTTCTCTAGTGTGGGCATGGTTTAGCATTTATGAATCTGATGATGCTGTAGCATGGGACTGCAGAGAATGTGTATGTAAAAGTGGTTTAATAAAGCCTTGTTCTGTTACTAAATTGTCTGAACTCCATATTTTTTGTACCATGTCTCTACCTTTTCTTTAAACCTTCAAGGGCCTGTTCGAAGTTATGTGGACAATTATCTGTCGATTGACTATCGCAGCTCTACAGTATTTCATGTAATGAAGCCATATAATGAGATATCGATAATGGTAAAACATTCTTATTTATACTGTGATATTGATCTCAGCCATATCTCCCAGACCTACTTTAAATATTCACATGAATATTATCAAGCATTAATAAGCAATGGAGTACATAATTTGAAACAGTGTAGAAACACATTTTTTATTTATTTACCTCCAATAAAAATATTATGCAGAGTTCATTGAAACAGAATAAAAGCACATACAATTTTTTCAGTAACCAAACTATATATTAAATTCCAGCAGTGATCACCATTTCCACATATTGATGACTAAAAATCAAAGTGCTGTGTTGAAAGTGGAACAAGATCACCAGTATCTACATTTTCACCATTTATAAGTCACATAAACAGAAACTTGACTCTTTCTTAAGAAATACTCATCATGGACAAAGACAGCCTGCCTGTTTGTTGTCACTGAACTATATAGTGAAGATAAACTGTAGGAAACAGCATCCGATTCAGAAGCCACCTGACGAGTCTCACCAATGTATGCTGAAAGTCTTAATCTAGCAGCAACAGTCCCTCGTGTCTCTAGTCTTGTTTTCCTTTTGACTCACTAAAGTAGACAAGCATGTTTGAAGTTAATGTTCCATCAGTTTTGTTCCAGCATTAACAATTGGAGGAAACTGACAGTTTGTTGTCTTGTCTTGTGTCATAAAGTAAAGCAGTGGGTTTCATTTGTTCTACTGTGGCACACAGTGTAAAATGTACAGGGTGGTGGAGACTGAGTCGGCTGAGTTATGGTCTCAGTATTTTTTCCAAAAGTCTCAATCTGATAATAATCTATTGATGTAAAATATGTTATAATCCATTCTGGTCCTCTGCTTTGCTCTCTGTGACCTTCACTGTGTGTCTGAAGTGCTCCCACAGGGGGCGCTGTCCTGGAATCTTACAGGGCACTTTAGCTTTGGAGGCTGTCACAGCTGGCTTGTTCTCCATGGTGTCCAGAGTAAACATGTGCCTACACACTAGCTCTGGTGTGGGCTGAAGCACATTATACAGAGCCTGCAACGCCCGCACATCCTCCAAAGCATCATGGGCCTTGTAGTTCACACCCAACAGCTCCTTAACCAGATTCTCCTGTCGAAAACTCTGGAGGCAGCGGTCCTTCAGCATCTCACGGGCCAGTGGTAGAGTGTCAACACAGCCTGAGACGGAAGACTCAAACTCTGCTCTGAGGTCCAGTTCATCAAGAGCTCGGGCAAGCAAAGGACAGTCAAAGCGGCGAATGTTGTGGCCGATGACAAGTGGGTGCCCGAGCATTTGAAGGAAAGCTATAAAGGAGACCAGGACCTCTCGCAGGGAGTTGGTGAGGACAAGCTGGCGATGGAGGTACAGCTTCTGTCTGCGGATCCTGAAGCCAGTCACTTTGGCTGCTCCTCGCTGCATCCGACACCGAGGGATGACATAGAGGTTGAGTGAGTGACCACCACTCACTGCAGCCAGCTGGACGATGTCACAACTCTGGCCTGGTGAAATAAAACTGAGCTACAGAGGAATTGTCTTGGAAGGATCTTCCACACACTAGGTGTTAAAGCAGCACATGTAAACACTTTCAATGAAATGACTGTAGCTGTTATGTTAGCCAGAGGTTCATTGACAACAATTAGGCATGGGAGATATAAAATCATACTATATAGATATAGTAAATTACCAGGAAAATCAATTAAACTGTTAATGGACAAAATAACCAGACACAAATGTCTGTTCTGAATAATTCAGTGAAATATACAGCTGACAAATCAAGGTGCTTTACGCCATTAAAGCCAAAATTCAATAAGACAATAAAACAGTGATTGTTTAGAACCACTGCTCACACAGGTGTAACACAGCCAGAGATGTAAAGGACAAAACAATGGCAAAATCTCTGATGGCAGCCAAATTTATATGGTCTCAGTATATATCTTCATTACATATTGTTTCAGCCCACTCCTAATGACAATTATGACAATTAATCAATCCTCATTAAGTCATTTATTAAGTAAAAATGCTAGAAATTTGCTGGTTTCAGATTTTTGCTGCGTTTCCCTGGGCTCTTTCTACCTTTTTTTGGCATTTTCTAGAGAATAAATCAAGGAACTAATCAGTAGTATGGATCAAATACATTACAGGGCAAAATCTTAAACAGACACAATGTGCTAAAGTTTTGTTTCACAAAAACATCTGGTAAATATTTTTGCTTTCTTTATCTTCTATACACAGGTAAACTGACCTGATCCTCATGTATCATCTGTCACTGATCCAACTTGTAGTGAATGACAGCAGGTACACCAAGTTAAAACTTTAAGAGATCCTTTCATGTCTGATAATTTTAGCCATTTTGTACTATGTTTTATTGTATTTTTAATGATTCTGTCTTTCACTATGTCTATTTAAATGTACAGCACTTTGGGAACCTTTGTGTTTATTTAAATTGTGCTTTATAAATAAAGTGGATTGGACTGGATTGGATGTCTGTTTCACAATCATACCGGGCACCTTTTTTTAAACTTTCCAACATTATATAATAATAATTCCCAATAATTTAATTAACACAACCTGGGTTCGCACTGTATATGCAACAATGAGCTCCAAAGCCCACAAACTGATACACCAACATGTTATATTTTATAAAACAAACGACTGCAGAACTTGCCTGAGAATTATCATGTTTTTACGTTTTCTTCAGTATTATTAGTTATATATTGATAGTTATCAGTACAACCGATAATACACAGCAAACCGGGACTTCTAATAGTGAATTCGGCGTACTTACTTTTAACTTAATTTTCCAAAATGTAAATAAATATAAGCTAAGGGGCGGGACTCATGTTGTAGCCCACAGTGTAACTCACTGGGCCATGTTCTGTTCATGCTGTGCTGTGACCGAGTGCTGACAAAACACAAAAACTTTACAATATTATCATAAAGTTGTATCTGTCATAAGTCACACAGCAGCATGTAATATGTTATCTTACCCAGTCCAGTCGTCTCCAGGTCGAAAAAAACCAGCGACCGTCGACACTCTTCAGCTCCGTCCGAGTTTTGCATCACGCCACAGTTTCTTCAGCCTCTGAAGTCTGACGGTGACACGGACGTTTAGTAAAATAAACCACACAAAGACAGACACGGCCGCTTGTATTCAGCTACATGATGCTATACGGCGTCAATATGGACTTGTATTTGTGCCATGAATTTTTTCCCTCCACGTTTTAAACACCTGCGTAGAGAGACAACCCCAACCGGAAGGTCAAAATTTTCAAAATAAAAGCCGCGTTGAAGACGAACGGGAAAGACACAAAAACAAACAATGAATAAATAAACCTGTATAAAATTAAATTATTATTCCTCAACAGGACCAAGAATGAATCAAGAGCTATGACCTCATCTATAGTAAAGTACATCCCTGCAATAGCTTGGTTTTTGAAGTAAAAAGAATTAAACTCAGTCCCTGCAGCAAAAAAAAAAAAACATTAAAAATTATTCTATCTTCAAGTATTAATGTGTTGTAAACAAAATAAAAATAAAGGCACCCTAGTAAGTCAGTACTTAGTAACCTCCCCTTTAGATTGTCACAGTTTAAAATGCATTTTTAAACAGTTCAGAGCCTTTCTATTCCTGATTTATGACTTTTCACCCACTCTTCCTGCAGGTCACTTCAAGTTCTGAGATATTTTGGGCTGTCTTGCACACACAGCATGTTAAAGATGTACCCGAAGATTTTCCCTGATAATCAAGACTGTGACGCCCATTCCAAAAGCTTCATCTTGTGTTTTTTAAGGTAGTTTATGGTGGATTTTTGGGTCTGCTTTGGATCATTGCCCTGTTGTAGAAGCCAATCTCTTTTTAGTTTCAACTTCTTCATTGACTGCAAGACATTTGCATCTAGAATGTGCTGATATTTAGTGGAATCCATCCTTCCTGTCCAAAGAATAATGTTTTCACCCCCATGCTTAACAGTTGGCAAAGACTAGTAAAATAAATCTTAATATTGACTTATTGCCTTAGTGTTTAGTGACTTAATTACCTTTAATTTTTTAGCATTACACTAATGTTGTGAATATTTTTTTAAAACTCTGCTTGATACTTATCCTGGTCTATGTCCTCCTCCTGCCTGAACGATGCAAATTTCCCCTGTGCAGCATGCCTTGCACCTGCATTGCATGCTGGTCTATTGATGCTACCGTCTGTAGGGAGAGATCTCTTCCTGTATGATTGCTGAAATTTGGTGCGAATAACTCAAAAAATACCAAGTTGTCTAGAAGGATTAAACAGAAGTTTAATGGTTTCACGGTGCTACTATTAACTGGAAAGAGATCAATACTTGCGTTTTAGACATGTTACAGAACATTACACAACAAAGCAACAACAGTAAATAATATATAAATCATGATACAGTATGAACATGACATATCTGTGATTTTTGGCTATAACATTATTTGTCTCTGATCACAGAAATTTATTTTTTTTCTAGATGTTACAAATACCTGTCCAACCATCTGAGAGAACATGAGTACAAAACTGCAACAAATAGCTTCATTTTCAAACAGCATATTTTCTTTTAAATCACATTTTTTCTTATTTTTTTACAGTAGCTTTACAGCAACACCTGGGTTGCCCTGAAAGTACATCTCGAGACACTCCGTGTATTCGGCTCCCATGTTTTGTACAGCTCTTGCAGCATCCTTGCGTCCTCAACAGCATTATGGGCGTTGTAGGTCGTTCCCAGGAAGTGCCGGACCAGGTTCTCCTGGGAGTAACTGGACAGACCACAAAAGAGATTCTTACTTAGCAGGAAGGTATCCACAAATCCAGAAACCACCTGCTGGAACTCCTGCCGGAGGGAGCACTGGTTCAGCACTCTGGTGAGTACAGGTGCATCAAACCCCCTTGCATTGTGGGCCGCCAGCAGCACAGGGCGACGGAAGGAGCGAAGGAAGGCGATGAAGGAGGTGAGAGCCTCAACAAGAGGGGTGGTGTGCACATGAACCCCGCGGAGAAACAGGCCATCATCCCTGACGGTGAAGCCCGTCACCTGTTTGGCGCTCTCAGTGAGGGCGCAGCGGGGGAGGATATAGACGTTAAAGACCCTCTCTCCACAGATGGCTGACAACTGGATGATGTCACACACGTCAGTGTCTGAAAGTAAAGGAGGGACAGATCAATGGAAGATAAAAATAAAACATAATAAATATATTACAATATTAAAAATTATAAACACATCAGTTTTTTTCAGCAAACTGCTCAAAGTGGTTTCTCTGCATCTCTCAGAGATCAGTATATACTGAGGTATCTATCACATTAAAGCCATAGTTGGACATTTTGATGAATACGCTTATCTGCTTTCCTGCCGAGAGTTAAATGACACTCTCATGTCTGTTCATATGAAGCTGCAGCCAGCAGCAGTTAGCTTAGCTGAGTATTAAGATTGGAAACGGGGAAACAGTTATCCTGGCTCTGTCCACCTACCAACACCTTTAAAGCTCACTACTTAACTCATTATATCGCTTTTGTTCAATCCGTACAAAAACCAGAGTGTAAAAGTGACATGTCATGGTTTTAGGAGGGGATATCTGCCTGTAAAACAGTGTCTAGATTACAAAAAAACTTTTTATCAGAATTTGATCCATTTAACCCAATAACATTTGGAAAGTCTTGAGAAGCCGTATGATTAAATAACTAAGTGCTGACAGGAAGTCAGCCATCTCAGCTAGCAGATGAACTAATTCTGTTCAAGCATAACCTGAACCTGACACTGATGAAGTCCACGAGATGCAGCTAAAAGCACCCAGAATTTCCATACAGAGAGCATTGCACTGTTTTTTTCTTTGTCACAAAGTACTGTGATATGTTTCTGTTTGAAATGTTTGTTTGCCTTGAACATTCATTTAAAGGGACATGTTAACCTGGATGCCATGTATGATAAAGATCCTACATTTCACAATAAAAGCACTACTGATGTATAAAAAGTACTCCTACTGTCCTCAGAGATCAGCTGACGGAGTAATTTCTTTTTTCTGGGTGAGTGGGTGACACTCTCTGTTCATCTGTGCAGCCATGGCATTCTCATGCTAACTACACATGAAAGCATTTTTCCTGTCATGAAGTCCTGCCAAAAGCGTGACAGTAATGAGTGAGTCATTGTACACACCCACACACAGTCAGAACCTCAGAATCCAGCGCGTCACTCTGAAGTCACAGTGAAATCCGTCCTCACATCTAGTTTCAGCCACACTGTTGTCATTTCATCCATTGTTGTATAAAAATATAGATTTTAAGCAGTTGCTAGTTTTGCAATCCAGCCTTTCCAAGCTCACAGGAGTTTGTATTCAATATGTGAGTATGGATGTTATTTGTATAATAATTCAATCTGTATGTTGCAACTTTCATTTACGTCTGTCGTGCATCGGAGGCTTCCTGTGTCAGCCACAGGAAGAGCATCGCTGGCTGGTTTGTGGTTGGGTACAGACAACTTCTCTGTTGTGTAATGACAGGCCAGAGGCACTTCTAACCAAACTTAGTTTTAATTTCTCAAAACGGTCATCAACTACAAGAGGCAGATGCCAGATTAGAAACCAATAAAATCAGAAACTGAAACCCTTAACCTCCTTATCATATTAAGACTCTACCTGATGCGTGCCAGTTTACAGGTGTAGCATTCACATTGGATTGATAAAAACAATGATGACACTGGCTAATGTTGTAACAGTTATATTCATGTGGCCACACTGGAACATAATGATGGACACATTCAAAGACACTATAATTAGAAGTACATTTACACAAGTAAAGTACTTCAGAACAATTTTTGAAGCACTTGTACTTTATATTTCGACTCCACAGGTAAACCCTGCACTTTTTACTTCACTACATTTATCTGATACCTACAGTTAACAGTTACTTTGCAGATTCTGACCAATAATACAAAATATAATCAACAAATAAGTTATGATGTGATATTATAAATTAAGATACCCCGAAGTATATAAAGTTAATACAGTCCACCCCACCTTCACCTTTACCAGCTGTGGGACTTTTACTTGTACTTGTATTCTACACTGTGGTATCGCTATCACTACCCTGCTTTAGTGAATGGCCTTCTCTTCCACCACACAGGGTGGTGCAGAGGGTTAATGTTGATAGAAAATAAAACTAAATTTCAGTGATGTTGTCCTAAGTGCCTTCTACAAAATGGTAGAACATGAAATAAGTAGTTTGAAAACTAAGTTAGTAATAGAGGCATCAAGATGTGTCTGAAAGTTCCGGAAAACTGAAAACTGGAAATTCCAGTAAGTGGACCTTGTGCTAATTCAGATCTTTTATTTCCAAGATCAAATATGAACCTTAAAACTAAAAAATAACAACTTATGTGAAAATACAAAAAATCTTTTGGGCAAATAGTCTTAAAAAGTACTTACTGTAGCACTGACTGTTCAAATAAGGTAAATCACAGGTTCATTGACAATATGATGAGTGATAGCAGACTGATAAGCACTTACTTAATCCAGTTGTCTCCAGGTCAAAGAAAACGATGGTTTTGTTGTCAGACATCTGCGGGATTTAAGATAAAAAAACATTTTGAGTCAAATTTGAATTTCTGCCAAGTTTTTATAAAGTGACACGCCCTCAACAGTTAAGTCTTATAAATCTGACAATTCATTTAAAAAAAAACCATTCAACTATTAAAGTAGCTATTCACAAGAAGAGGATACAAATATGTGAAGGTAAAGGATAAACTGTAGAATATGAAGAGTAAACTCACCGTGTTAAAGTTGGATGTGTTGTCAGCTCAGTCAGATTTCATGTGAATCAGCTGTAATAACCTGAGTTATCTTCATGTACAGACTCATCTGGGAGGGACCTACAGGTGATTCACTGCCTCGCATTTCTAAACTCAACTCCACTTTCATTTTAGTGGAAGAGAAACTCGATGGTTTTTTTTCTTTGTCTCGCTCTTTCTTTTTCTTCCTCTTCTAATGAATCACCTCCCTGCTCGGTTGTGCCGACCTGGTCGTCTCTAAACATGTGGCAGGTGCAAAAACAAAAGATATGTTGTGTGAAGGTGGAAGCTTCCCCGCTGTTCGTGTGGTTTCATTTTTGACCCGGTGGATGACGGCAAGCAGAGGCTTTTGTCTTAGTAACGCGGCGGTCGCGCGGTAAACTCGTGTTAGTTAAAAAAAAAAAAAAATCAGGAAATATGAATCGAAAATTACGTAACTAAATATATGAAAAGCCGCAAAAAAACTGAATGCATCACTTTTAATTTCTGTTTCTATGCACTTTAAATTAAAACACAAATGAAGGCTACTGAAATCATATTTTATATTCAGCTAAGTCAGTCTTTATCTGTTACACAGATGTTAGGGTTTCCTCTAGATTAATTGTTCTAATAATTCATAAAGTTTGCAGTAGATATATATAGAAATATATTATCATGTACCATTAGTTACTTTAAAACTCTTCATTGAAAAGTGTAGATATAGTCAATTTTATTTGTATAGTGCCAATTCACAACATAAGTTATCTCAAGGCACTTTACATACACAGTATACAGTAAATGAAATGAAATTGAGAATATCCTCTACTTTCATTTGATATGCTGCAGATTTGGTTCAGTGTGTATCCAGGGATGTACTCAAATATTTTACTCAATCAAAAGCACTGTTACTTTAAAGATCTGTACTTACAGTAAAAGTAAAATTACTTGTGTAAAACATACTCAGATAAAAGTTAAAAGTGTGTTAGTTATATGATGTATTCAGTGTAAACCTTACTGCATTATATTTTTAAAGGGAGGGTATATGATGATAATGATGATGATGATTATGATGATGTTATATGATAGAACTATTAAATCAAAAAACATATTTAGGCTACAACATGAGGTACAGTAATATATGAACGTATACACTATTGGAACATCACACCATTGAGCCCTATTAAAAATAAAGATAGAAAATTTAATAATAAAGTTTATAAGGACCATATCATATCTTGTTGGTTAATATTCCCACAAGATCTCTTACTGCAAAATATAAAAAATATATAAATAATACTTAAACTGATAAACTTTTACATCTTTGCAAAAATAGTGGCTTAACAATACAAAATACCAGATAGAAATACCATTAGAACATTAGCTACATATAACACTATAGTATGAAGTATGAAGGGATTTCAAATTCACTCTATTCAATGTTACATTTAAATCCAGCTGTTTTCACTGGGGGTAAATTATAGTACTGTCCACACCTGATACTGACAAAACAATAACTATGTCGCTGTGTTTTGAGCCTCAGGGGAACTGTGTAATAGGCCTTTTTCACAGCAGACATTTTTACTTCTAATAGTAGGAAAAGCACAAGTGTTACTGATAGCATGAACAAAGCCACGGTAGTGTGACAGTATAGTTTTTCAGGAGAATCTCATTTAGATTTAGAAACATAACCTGACCATTTGTAACAAATGGTTACAGTTAGATTTGGTGCAATGGACTCTGCTTTTTGAGGGAGCACTCAAACGTGAGCATTGAGTATTGAGAACTAACCCCCCTTAATAAACATAATTCATAATTCATACTATTCTAATGATAAACAGTTGATGAAAAAATGCAAAGAATTGTAGTGATGTGCCAGCAAAGTAAGTGAAAGAGACTGCAAGCTAGCAGACATCTATGTAAATAATTCATAATTTAATTTTTTTAAAGGGGCTAGTTGTAAGTTTTCTCTGCCACTGAATGTGATTTCTTGCCAGGAGTGGGTGGTGGTGATGGTTGCTTGACAAGAGCTTTGACCATCATTGCGTTTACAGGACAAGAGGTTGTAATACGTCCTCTGAGAAGCGCTACGCCTTCAGGGCAGCTTGGAGGCTGCAGTGAGTCGCTATCAGATAGTGAAGAGACGGGCTGGGGCTAGCTGGTTAGCGTGCTAACTTCAGCAGAAGAAAAGACGTGATAGAGACAAGAGTTAACGTTGGTGTTGCTTTCCACCTCTGGAGGCAGCTGTTAGTGAGTAAAGGAATGAAACAGCAAAACAGCAAACAGCTGTTAATGCTAACGCTAGCTATGTCGCGATAGTAAAACTTTCAAAAAGTTCCTTTAAAAATCAGCTTTGTAAATGTTTTAAGAGGAAGGAAATGTATTTGTGTTGTTTTTTAGGCTTTCAGGATGCACACAATGGGATTTGGTGAGTAACAGTGAATGCGATTATAACTTTGACCAGAAGAAAGAAAAACTCAAACTATATGTCTCATATTGAAAAGAAACACAAATGTGTGATGTCGTCCCAAAGAAGATACATCCTGTGACATCCTGTCAAAGTACAAATACACATTTCTGTCAGGCAAAATATTACACAACTCATTTGAGTTTGGCTGCAGTTTTGCTTTTTTAATAAGCAGATGAATTTTCCCCCATAAAGTCTTTTTTTTCTTACAACCATAGACATGTTTGTATCATTAAAAAAAGAAATATAACACAAATTGCACCTTATACATAACCGTGTCCAGAGTGGCGCAGACAGAGAGACACAACACTTTTTTCTTTTTTTTCCGCTTCGTAGCACAAACATGACAGACCGAGTGTGGCCTGTTAAAATGTTGCCATGATTAATAGTAGATAATGAACCGTACACAGGATAATATATCCTTTTATAACACCTTTTATAACAGATTCTTTTAAACCAATGTACACCCCAAACGCATGATCATAAATAGTACATACACTGTGTATAAAAGAGGAACAAAAACAACCAGAGAAAGCAGAGCATGCCTTCCAGTGACAGGTACATTCACTTTTTTTTTCTTTTTTTTCTTTTTTTTTTATAATGTTTTTTGCAGAATGCCATATAGACAGCCTGGACATGTACAAATACCATCCCTTCAAATACCAGCTTAAAGATATTTGACCTGGAATCAGTTTGTCCTTTCAGTTCACCTCTGAAACTGTTGTTTTTTCTTCTAAACAGGTCTACACTTAATGTTATAAAAAGATGACACATTGCCAAGTCTCCACACCTGCAGTAAAACTGAGATCAGCACAGTCTTCACTGAGTCTTCCAGCTTCAAGGAAAAGTTGATTAACACTGATTGTGTTGGTGAGATCGGAGCAAAGGTCGCCCAAAAAAGTATCTGATCACAGACGCAGCAAGCGAGGAGAGATATTGCAGCTTTAGTACGGAGACATCATTGCTGTTAAGCTACTGAGTAGGCCCATGAAACTGAATATTACACTGCTACTGTATGGACAGAGACAGAAAGAGAGTAAGATTATGCAGGAACACGAGGACGGTCTGAGTTAGGTGCTACTTGCTTGCAGATTAAATGCTACTTTTCACAGCCAGAGCCGGAGGAGTAGAGGATGGAAGAGCTACGTTTATGTTTGTTAAACGAGAAGAAGAAGAAGAAGAAGAAGAAGAAGAAGAAGAAGAAGAAGAAGAAGAAGAAGAAGAAGAAGAAGAAGAAGAAGAAGAAGAAGAAGAAGAAGAAGAAGAAGAAGAAGAAGAAGAAGAAAGTGTTTTGGATGGCTCAGAGGACAACATGGACGGTTTGGGTGAGTTGGTGAGTGCAAGAGTTTCCCCACAGGTGCAATGAAACTCAGACTGATGAAATATTTCCTAAGTCTGGGTTAGTTTTAGTGTCACGTGATGGCTGCAGAGATTTTCCACCCACGTAAGAATAATGTTTTACCGGGAAACACTAGTGTGTATATGTGTTTGCAGAGACGACTACACGTGCACAAAGTGGGAGCTGATACAATGGCAGGAATTATTCACTCATTCATTCAGACACACACCCATACATGGGAAAGAAAAAATGGCTTTCATGTGAACAAAAATAAACCATTGACAACAAAAACATGACATCTTTGATATCAAAAACAACACCTATAATACAGCAATAATATATATTAAAAAAAATTCAAGTCCTGACAAAGTAACACTGATGTTTCTGAATAAAACAGAAGGAAAAACTTAAGAAAGCCTGCAGGGAAAGGCAGATACAATTCACATATAGCTGACTGGCATTTGACACCTCACGTCGAGGACGCGGGACACCTGACACGTAGCACAGATCGACAGCTTTTCCTTCTATTATTTCTCAAGAGTGTAACCCGAGGACACCCAGAACTGGCTCTGTTCAATGTGAAATAAGGAAAAAAAAGAAAGAAGAAAAATCATGTAAGTGAACGAAACCAGCACAGAAACAAAGAGGAACGAGACACTTCACTTTGCAAAGAACAGGAAACAGAGACTAATCAACAATGAATGACCCAAGAGCAGCACTGGAGTTTCTTCCTATGTACACTTTTTTCCTCTGTAACATAATAATAATAATAATAATAATAATAATAATAATAATAATAATAATAATAATATGTAACATACAGTTGTGACATATTTCTGTACAGTTTTTTCAAACTGACGTAGGAAAAAGTGTGATGGAGAAGCATGCAGCCTCTTGGCTGGTGTGTCCTGTGTAAACGTGAGAAGCAGACTAGCTTGGCGCTGGTTACAGACAACACGTCCACCAGTTCAGTCGTATGGCTACATTTCTTCTGGGTGGCTTTGACCACCTGCCCACATGCTAAAAAATAAAGACAGGGCACTGTAAGATTTGGCTTTGCAGGTGTGGGTTTTTCTGTGTCTCACCACTCGTCCTTCCCTTCTTCTTCTTCTTCTCTCTCCTCTAACCGACCCCCGGTGCTCCAGCGGGGGTCAAACAGCACTGAGATCAGAGGGTCAACTAACTTTTCGCTTCGCTCTATTTCTGTTTTTCACATTAGTCGTCAGTCTTCCTCCTTTGACCATCTGTTGTTTTGTCCCTCTGTTGAATATGTCCAGTCTTCTCTTCTTTGATTCAAGCAGCTTTCTGCTTTGACTGGACCAGGGGAGGAGGGGGGTGGGCACTGGGGAGGGGCAGCAGGCAACATTGGGCATGAACTTCGCCCTGTGACCGGCCTCGTCCAACCCCGGACTCTCCCTCCTCCCCTTCTCGGCCACCCTCCTGCGCTTGAACAGGCGTCGGCTGGCGTTCCTTCCCTCCTCGGCTTCACACCATGAACTCGTTGCTGCCGTACAGAACCAGCTGCTGTGGCCCCGAGCTGAAGTCCGACTCCCTCCTGTGGCTTCCCGAGGGCTCGCGTGGTGAGCTGCGGCTCAGCCTGAGCCTGTGCTGGGTCTTGCCGGTTCTGTGACCCCCCTCCGCCTCGGCCAACGGGGCCCCCAAGCCGCAGGAGGTGAGCAGGGGCCCGGAGGAGGAGGAGCGGAACCGGTAGTGAGGGGACGGAGAGCCGGAGGCATTAGAGGAGAGTGAGGAGGAGGGGTGGTAGGAGGAGGAGACGGTGGAGGTGGAGTCTGCGGAGTCCTGGGAGTCCGGCTGACGGCGCAGAGCTCGTCTGCTCTTTGTCTCCGACTTCCTGGAGCGATACGTGCCGCGGTCTGTGGAGAGAGAGCCGCAGTGATAGAGAGACTTTAAAGACACATTATAACCACAGTGAGAACAGACTGTTTAATCACAGTTACACTGCATTTCCATTATGCTAATATTTGAATGAGAACCAGATTACTGCAACTGTCAAGTAAACACCAACTTGTCTCACATCAACTTCAAAAAGAGTAAACGAAATATAATTAGCAGACTTTAGCTGCTGTAATTAAGCTATTACTTTAATTACCTTGAACATAGTGATCAAGTCATGGTGTGCAAAGAAAGGCTATAATATTGTTGATGACTGTGATTATAAATACACAAGACGCATTGAAGAGACATTTGAGATCTGATCACCCAGACCACATTCAGAGGTGGTCTGAGCAACATGTGGCCACATTGTTTTAGAAGTGTGACCACAAATGCATCCTGGGCCACATTGAAGGACCGCCTACTCTACTGACGTCCTCTGCCACAGTCTAATTAGTCTAATTTGTTGTGATGGGATCACCTGAGACAGATGTTAATGTCGGGTCTGAACAGGGCCTGTGGTGTGTATGCTACGTAGGATGTGTGTTCCCTGAGGCGAGATTGGCTGCAGCTGCTGGAGTCCTGATTAGAGCTGCACCCGGTCCAGACCACCAACCAACCAGATGGCATTTGGGATTGAAAGTACCAAAGCCTGGCCTGGTCATTCAGCATGGCTGATACCCACAGCTCGTCAGTGTACCTCCTGTAGTTGTTGAGCTTAACTCAGCAGTTGTTTGAGAATTAACTCATTAAACTTTGTGTATTAGAGTAGTTAGACTATTTAGTCTATTTAGCCAGGCGTGGAGAAAAAGTAGAACTGACCACACACATAGAAAACTGCTTGTTTAGATCCACCAGGAACAGCAGTGCTGTTTGTGTATTTTTGGGTTAAAAATCAGGACAGATGTTTTCTTTTCATTTTTGTTTTCCTTTAGAAAGCTAGTTGCAACTCTTGTTTATCTAGAGTCCTCTTTTGGTTATATTTGGTTCTTTGTTTTAACAAAGTTGAGTTAACCTCATTTATTGTTCATATCAATTTCCCCAAGCTCCTTACAAATAAATAACTCTGCTTAACCAGCTACATCTGGTTTTATGTTGCTTGTCTTTTCCCAGAACGAGAACACACACACACCAGAGGGGTCTGAGGTGGCGCCCTTGGTCTCCATGGTGATATTTTCAGAGCTGTCTGCTGTCCCGATGGAGGCCTCAGACTCAGGAGTCTCATCGTCGGACGCCCGCGGCTCCAAGATCAACATCTCAAAGGTCAGCTCCTCCCTGTCGACACACACACACACACGCAAATCACAGGTCAGGTGGTGCTTCATCCAAATCAGTTCATTTACATTTGAACCATTTATCATGATATGGAAAAGAGTGTATCCCTAAAGTGATTCATATAACACAGCAGCAGCTAAGTGACAATTTAAAAACAACAGGGAACAAACAGATTCACTCAGTTTTTATCAGTACCATTGACTGAGTGATGCATCTGTTAAAATTGATAAAAATGGTTTTGTGATCAATTATCCTCTGGCTGGCAGAGATAGTGAGTGATTAAGATTTTTAAACTTGACATTTACATGTTTGTATGAACTTTATAACATGAAGTTCTTTCATAGTTTCTGTAGGAACGTTTTATGTTAGGAATGAAATGCTTTTTATATCTTGTCTATGCTTTGGTAGCTGTGCACTTGTGTCACACAATGAACAACACAAAAACCCTGTCAGTGCGTCGTACTTCTCTTTCTGCAGACTCTCGATCTGCTCAGTGAGGATTCGCTCCTCCTGCTGCATTGCCAGCTGCTGCTGCTCGTTCAGCCCAGCCTCTGCTGCATCCTCTCCTCCTCCTCCTCCTCCTCCTCCTCCGCCTCCTCCTCCGCCTCCTCCTCCTGCACTCTCTCCATCTACCTCAGGAGGCACTCGGGGGCTCTGAGGAGGCGAGGCCGTGTGCCCGCTGTTTTGTCGAACACGGCTTTTGCTCTGCAAGTTCACACACACACACACACACACACACACACACACACACGCACACACACACACACAAAGAATTGAACAGTGTGAGAGTGTATGTTAGCTGCAGTTGACCAGTTTGCTGTTGACGCTGACAGTGATGAAGCACAGACAGAGGACTCGCTATAGTCACGGTTGACCACATACTAACTATACAGGATGTATTGACCACAGCTCACAACACCATCCTAAGAAACTATGAGGTTTGCTGAATGTCACTGTGCACACACACAAACACACCTTCATCTACACACACACTCACACTCACATACTCACAGACAGGCATTACCTTAAGTTTAGCTGTGTTAGGCTGCATGTTAATAAGTCGTGAAGCAGAAACAGAAAAGCAAAGAGCGGTCAGTGGCGTCAGTGCAGCTACAGTCTGAGTGTTGCTCTCTCTGAACACTCAACACAAACATTTAAACCAAAGACAAAAACTACCTGTCTTGAAATTGTAAAAAAGACATAGAACCTGACTAATTTTAATAATTTCAGTCAGAGACAAGAGAACGGGGCCTTCATTTGTCCCACAGGAACTATACCGCCAGTCTGAGAGCATCATTTCTCATTGAAACACCTGGATGTAGCTAACAGGTTGTTAACTTGCTTTGCTAACAACCTGCTAACACCCTGTTGTTGCTTTGCTAACAACAAAGCCACAATGGAAATTCTTTGGAGATGTAACTTAACACAAACAGCAGAGAAACACAATGAGGCAAATTGTGGGTTAAATCAACACTGTTAGCAGTAGCTAGCTATTTTAGCTTCAAAACGTACTCTACAGTGTCAGTTAACTGTTTTGGTTTCATAAGAATCAACTTCATTCAGTTAGTCCTGAAGTATGTGGCTGTTTGTGAGTCATTCACTAGAAATTTAATTTAGATGAATAACTGTTGTTATTATATTAGTCAATGTTGGTTTCTGCTAAAAGCCCATCTGTTAGCACAACAGGTCACATTCTGTCCCATTTCTCACAAGTAGAAATGGGACTAAATCAATCTCAAGTCTTGATCTTGAGACATAATTGAGTGCAAGTCAAGTTCTCAGTCTGACGTCTCATCAGGTTTTGGGGGAATAGGTTGAATCTGAACCACCACAAAACCTGGCAGGAACAATGGCTGTGCAGTGCCACGGTAGCATTTTTTAAAATATGAAAGTCCAATGTATTTTTAAACTATAAAACTGTGACTGAAGCCAGACTTTAGTCCAAGCTGGCACAGTCTGTAAACATAAACAGATCAGTAACAAAATGATTGCCACTAAGTCTGTCTGTGTCCATTTTACACTCTTAAAACCTCCAACATGGCTGCTGCTGCATTTCATCACCTGAGAAACCTATATAACAATATCAACCTGCTTTGAGAGTAAGTGTACAATAAATGTACAACTAATTACTGATTGTAATTATTGGGTGTAACTCGAAGGGCCTAGACAATAATTCAGTAAAGTAACAGTGTTGAGCAACGACACAACACAACTAATCAACCTCTAATAAAAGAGTAACAAATACACAAACAGAGAGTCAGACACCTCAGCACTGAGCGCTAGTTCATGGACAGACGTGATGAGTACTGTGACTGGACGTTACAGACAGTATGAGTGGACAGAGCTAAGAGACTGACGGACAGGACAGGACTGGTGGTGGGCGGGCACATGGAGTGGGAGGGGCATACATACCGGGGTGGCAGTGCGGGTTATGCTCATAAACCTAACAGCAATTAGTACAGGTTTCTGGAGGGAGGGGTGGGGGGAGGGGAGGAAGGAAGGACAGATTAGGGTTAGGGAGTGGTGAAGGTTATCAAGTAGGCATGGCTTTGGTGATTTGTAGTTTAAAGATGTCGAGACATTTAGGTTAAAACTGAGCTACATCTGGTTGGAAAGAGTCAGAGCAACTATCCAGGGGCCCCGCAAGCCCCAGGTTTCCTTCATAATAAGATTAATGACAAATTTGTTGAAAATTTCCCCACTGAACTACAATATCAACTATGACAGGTCCTCCATCCTTTATCTGGTGGTTCTGCTCTAGTAGAGTTTCAAGACCTTAATTGTTTTAGTTTTATTTTATTGTGTCAAGTACTTTTACATAATTTACATAACTTACAATATTAGGTTAAAAGCGTCAAAATTGTTGTCAGTTCATCTTCTTTCAAATGACTAATTGACTTCATTGATCAAGTTTAATCTGGCCATGAGCTAAGTGAAAATACAGTGACGGAAAAAGTGCCCAGATCCTTTACTTAAGTCAAAGTAAAAGTATCACACTATAAGATTACTATAGCAAAAGTAGAGAAGTACTGGCATCAAAATCTACGTAAGTCCTAAGTAAATATAGTACTGCTGACACAATAGTTATACTGTATGTGTCCTGAATATCTAAGACATCACTTTTTAACATACGTTTTCCATGTTTTAACCGAGATATTTATACGTCTTTTATCTTCCAAATCATTAAAACCATCCTTACTGGGAAGGTTTAGATACAACTGGTTGCTAGGTGAATTTGGGAGGCTAGGGAATCACAAACAAGTTAGCAGCATTTTTCCAATTATTGTGTTTGCTAGAAAAACATATTACACAGTTTGCTGCTTCTTAGAGAAATTCAATGTGGAGAATTTCTAAGATTTCCTGTGTTTTGAATTTCTTTTAAAGATGAAGATGGCCTGTTGGGCTCTATGGTGCTGTACTCTTTTGCACTGTTGTTGTGTGTTTAACCTTTAAATTTACAATGACCTGTGGAGATGACATGTTTGTAACCAGCTATAAAGACAGCAACGCTCTCTGCTCCCTCCATGTGCACATGACCGAACAGAATCAGCAACATCTGGATCCTTTTGTGCAAAGTTGCATTCTTCAAAATTAATCTTATATCCTTTGTCTTTCCTTTAAAATAACTTCATCAACAACAGTAATAGAAGTTATATGACATTACACATTGTATTAGTTTCTGCTTATGTTGTGTTGCAGTTGGTTTTTCCTTTTCATAGTTCTTTGCAGTTGAGAGTTGTTGTGAAAGAAAAGTTTGAATGCATTTAAACTTTGCTTGTAAATGACCAATATGAGCAACATTACCATTTACTGAAGGCTCATGCTCACAGTTGGCAAATATGTCAGTTGCTTTAAGTTGGTTTTCACTCTTTACACTCCACCTTTTTTCTTTTGTACATGGGAGCTGCTGAGAGTCCTGTTTAACATCTGCTGTGACTTAAAGTCCAACATAGAGTAGAAACAGCATTACCAGAGAGGTAAGTTAGAAATGTTCTTATAAAAGACAGGGTTGTTGCACATGTGCAGCCAAATTGTGAAATGTGAATTTCTATTTACGATAACAGCAGTATGTTTTGTATACAAAGTTACTGTGTCCTGCTGTGAACATGTTTAATTTAAGGTGTATCCCCTTTAGTTGTCCAGCTTTTTGCTTGTGTAACAAATACACAAGAAGATCTGTTGATGAAAGATGTAAATAAACACAGAGGAATGAACTCCTGCCATGGCCGTGTGAAAACCATGCCAGCTGCTCGTGGAGCTGAAAACTGTCACCATTTAAATGATGAGTGAGCGGAACAAGCAGGAAAACATCCACCTCAATGTGACGGGCAGTCGGGTTTGTTCACACTAACGTCTGAGTACGTATCACAGACGCCTGTTGTCGGACGACTGACAGCAGCTGTAGTCTGGTCTTACCATGGATTTCCTGATGTGGGTCAGTCTGCTCTTGGCTTTGCTCTCTGCAAACTCCAGACTGTTGATGTCCTTCAGACGAGCTTTGTACTTTCTCATCTGCTCGTTGATGATCAGCTCCACACACCTGCAGGGGAGACACATTTACAGTAGAACCATGAAAAAGAGCATGAAACCACTTGTAAATCCATCTCTAAGTTTGTGCATAAAGTTTTTTCCACGTTCTTCTATTATGTCTTGAGGAATAAATGTAAATGTAAGTGGTCCTCCTCTTTAACTATAACTTCTATTAATATTTTGACCGTATGGAAACATTGTGAAATGCAGATTTTTATTTATTCATTATTGTTATTGTTGTTTATGTTTTGTTTTCATGTTTCAAATGACTTAATCTTAATGTTGGACAATAACACATTTTCCTTCATACTAGATGTAAACACATTGGCCTTTATATTGTTGGAAGTTATTTGAAAATATTAATAAACATAATGTTGAAAATAAATAAAGAAATAAATGTCTTAGTATATGACAGTGTTGTCCAGTCAAAAGTAATCAACCATGTAAACAGAAAGTCACTGTAGCATCACAAGCTGCAGCATAACTTCATAAACACAGTTTAAGGATGGCAAATGATATAAACTACCAGTCCTTTGTGAATATAATACTTTGTTTTATTTACATAGGCATACACAAAGAATATGTGTTTGTCAGAGTGAGGATTCATGCAGTTTAGAGTGAATTGTGCTAATAATTGAACCAATGCTATCTGGTCTTTCAGACATAAGTTGTGTTATTTTTGTGAAATGTACTTTAAAATAGTTCCAGTTTACATCTTTGAATTAAATACCATTTTAATTAAGTTTCAGGTCAGACTTTAATCATCACTCTCAACATCACTCTCTTAGCCTTGTTAGTGAGCTCAGCTGCAGTTACACCTGGCAGTGTGCGTGTAAATATTCAACTAATCTCTATAAGTATATGTTATAACTAGACAAAGATTGATTTTTTAATGAGCCATGCTTAAAATAAACACCATCAAAGCAAATCTACCTCGGCCAAACAGGTCGATGATGTTGTGAGATACAATTTCAGAGCCACAGTTACAGAGTTGAAGTCTTTGCTCCTACAGGCCTCCACGGGCACTTTCCATCAGCCAATCAAAGAAGACTCGTGTTATGCCACTTAACACAAAGTAGTAACAATGGATGGTTAACTCTGGTTTAAACATTCTGTTTTTTTTGTGTTGCAACACACTTGTGTTGTGTGAAGCCACCAGTGAGAAATAATGTGGATAAAATCAAAAACAATGCACCTAAATCTTTGTGGAAACTGTGAAGTGGAACAAATTATTACGTATGATATCTACACTCCTTTGGCCATGAAACATCTCTGTTGCAGGCAGTTCTTTTGATTACGAGCCCTGTTTGATGATTTAGAGATTTAACAGGTAGAACTTGAGTTATAGTTTGAGGTCAGGGGACGTACGCAGTGGTTTTGCTGATGTCTTGGACGCTCTGCAGCGGGTCGATGGTGTCGGGGCAGCGAAGGATGCAGGGAGCAAACACGATGGCGAGGGCGTTGGCTGACATCCTGTTAGTCTCCTCCTGCAGGGCGATCCTGTAAAACACCACAGAATAATCCTGTTAATCCTGATGTTGATCCATAGAGAATATTCCCAACAGACACCACACTTAGAGGATGGCATGTGAGCGAGACGGTTAATCCAGAGTCTCTGATAATCAGTGAGGAAAAAAACAACAAAGGGAATCTGAAACCTCTGCTGCCAAGATGAAAAAAAGCTGACTGCACAGACATTTTGCTCACAGGCGAAATCATCCGTCAGATCTTGTTTCAAAAGCTCATGTTCAGACTCTTGCCTGAGGCTCTAACGCTGATGTTGATTCCTATCTCATCTCTCACCTGACCAGATGGAAGATGAGGCGCTCCAGTGTGCTCAGGTGTGTCCTGCTGAGCTGGTCGATCACAGAATACACCCCTCGGATCACCTCCCGCTTGTCTGGCTGACCTGAGAAGAGCAAAAACACACACACACACACACACACACACACACACACACACACACACACACACACACTCAGATTATCACACTGACTCAGCTGGAATAGCCTCTAGACTGACAAACAGTAAAGCAGCCGCTAAAGGAGCTAATTATGAGCTTACCCATGGCCCTGAGGAACTCCTCGTACAGTTCAAAGGTCATGAGAGGGCTGGGCAGGTCACGCAGCCACTGCTTGAGAACACTGGCAATGACGTGGATGTTGTAGTCGTCCAGGTTCACACTGTTCACATCTGGAACAGAGAGATACGCTCAGGAAAATTAACATTCATTCATGTTTCAATTATTGTGACTGTGTTTGGCAGATTTACAGGTAGATGTAATCACAGAAGTAGTAGCAGTAAAAGCAGTAATGGAAGTGGTACTGGAAGCAGCAGGTGTTGTAGTAGTTGTTGTAGCAGGAGTTTTTGTAGTAAGGGTAGTATAAGTAGTAGTAGTAGTAGTAGAAGAAGAAGGAGAAGGAGAAGGAGAAATCTATTAGTAGAAGAAGAAGAAGGAGGAAAAGAACAGAAAGAGAAAGAGGAGGAAGAAGCAGTACCATTTAGTAATAGTATTATTAGAAGTGTTAGTGGTACTACTAGAAGAAAAAGCAGTAGTGGTAGTAATAATAGTAATGGCAGCAGTAGTAGTAGTAGTAGTAGTAGTAGTAGTAGTAGTAGTAGTAGTAGTGGTAGTGGTAGTAGTGGTAGCAGTGGGTAGAAGTGTATGTAGTAGTAGTACTAGTATAAGTAAAGGAAGATGTAGAAGTATTAGTAGAAGGAGCACAGCAGTACTATGAGAGGTAGAAGAAGAAGAAGAAGTTGCAGTAGTAAGGACTATGTGAAGAAGTGGTAATAGTAGATGTAGTAGTAATAGAAAAAGAAGTAGTAGAAGATATAGTAGTAGCAGAGGATGAGGTTGTGGTAGACGTAGTGGTAGAAGTGGCAGTAATAGTAGCAGCAGCTGTTACAGATGTTTTATATGGAAATGAAATGAAAGGTGTTGGTCTCACCTGTGTCCAGCCCCTGACGGAGTTCTTTGATCTTATTGGTGGAGCCCGACTTCCTGTAGATCCCCTCTGTGTAGAGGCCGTGCATCTCGATGTAGTTGATGAGTTTCTCCACCAGCTGCGGCACCGTTCGCTCCTCGCTGGTCAGACGGGACAGCTCCACGCCAAACTGCCGAGACGACAGCTCCGGATCGTACTTGTTTAGAAAAACACAAACGTAGAAATATGTCACAGTGAAGTCGGCCTACTCTAGGTAATGTTTGCTGAGCTGGGCTGTGGCCCCTGTGACAGTTACAGCATGATGATGCATGATGAAGTGACTAATGAGCCTAATCAACCTGTAGCTGAGTGTATTTAAAGGAGCAAGGGTTTGTTTTAGAGCTTATGAATTCAACTACCCTTAATTCAGTACTGTGCAGAAGTTGCAACAATTACATCATTTCATTATTCCTGGCAGATCCACTCAAGCTGTGTCAGACTGGAACGGGAACATCTGTAAACTGCCATCTTCAGGTCTCTCTACAGATTTTATTTGGGGTTTAAACCTGAGCTTTGGCTGGGCCACTTAAAGACACTCAAAAACTTGTTCTGAAGTCACTCCAGCTTTGTCTTTGCTGCGTGTTTCGAGTCATTGTTGTGATGAAAGCTGAACCGTCGCCTCAGTCTCAGGTTGCCTGCACTCCTTCCCTCATTTCTGACCAGTCTCCCTCTCTCTTCCACTAAAAAGCCCCCCCATAGCCACATGCTGCCACCCCCATGCTTCACTGTAGGGATGGTGTTAGTCAGGTGATGAGCAGTGCATTTCAGTTTTCTTCTCTTTGTCATTATGGATTATTGAGAGTAGGCTGATGGGCAAAATTAAACCTACAACACATTAAATTGTTCAAAAATGAAGGAGTCTGAATATCTTATTCATGTATGTATCCGAAGCAGAATTGCTCTGAATGTGGAATAACTCCAAAACGTGGCAGGAATACGATCATTTTTCATTACGTTTGACGATAATGAGTCACAAAGTTAATTAAGAAGGTGAAAACTGAATCATTGCTTTGATTAGTGATTAAACCAATGTGCTGTAACACCCATATTCATTCTTTTTTACCACCATTATGATATTATAGCATCCTGAAACTCAACAACTTACGATAATGGACAAAAAAAAAAAAAATCCACCTACCTTCTTACTGCACTTGGTTGTCATCTTGGAGCAGCACTTCCTGTGGCAAGCGTAGCGACACACTGCAGACAACAGAACAACACAATCAGACCGATGACATCTCTACAACCTCCTCGCACCACTGCACTGCCTGCTGCTGCTGCTGCTGCAGTCAGTCAAGACCTCAAAGACTCGGGCCGGTAAACGTCGAGAGTGGCCGAGAGAGTTTGGGTGTGATGTCTTCTCTCTCTCAGAGTGCAGATGAAGCTTTGTAACTAGACCGAAGATAGATTTATGAAAGGAGCGGGAGGGTTAATCGAATTTTTCCGACACTCAGGAAGGCAGGGCAAGTATGTGAGTTTTGTGAGTTTGAATGTGCAGTGTCTGTGTTTTGTTTGTGTGTGTGTGTGTGTGTGTGTGTGTGTGTGGGAAAGGAGTAGGAGTAGGAGGGGGTTTAATGTGCCGTGTGGATGGAAATAAAAACTACACACAAGGGCGTGAGAGCCTGTGGGTAAGTGAGTTAGGAGAACATTAGGAACTGCAGGTGGTGTGTATTTTTGTGTGTGTGGGTGTGTGTGTAATAGTGAGCAGAGCAGCAGATCTTTACAGCCTGCTTTTAGCCCAAATAAAAAAAAAAGAAAAATGAGGTAAAAAGTAAGAATACTTTCCATTAATTCCCATTTAATAATAGTAATGAATCAAATCCCTTAATTTTGACATTGTAATCCAATTCCTTCCAAGTTTGTTGATGTTGTTCTAAAAAAGTTGTGAACAATTTGTCTTCCACAACATTTAAAACTTTACGTCTAATGCAAAGAATGTCTGACAGGATGTGAAACATACAGTGTGATATTATAAAGTGAAACGCTGATATTTCTGTCTTTTTACCTCTTTATTTTCCTTATTCCATGACTACATCAAACAACGTAAACCTCTGTTGCATCTAACTCGTTAGAACAAACTCTGGTGCACTGGTGAACTCCCATGATGCATTGAGCACTCTCTCTGTCTTTGCATTGATATCATACTATCAACTATCAACTCTGCATTTTCTCTCTCCCGTAGTTTTCTTCTCCTCTCTCTCTCTCTCTCTCTCTCTCTCATCATTCTGCAGGTATCTGACTCTGGAGCTGCAGGATCCACATCTGACACTACAACACTCATTATTATTATTAATATTATCATTAGTTATTATCATTATCATTATTATTGATGACACCATTACCTATGAGTATTACTATTATCATTTTCACTATAACCAACAATCAGCAGTATACTATGCACAGCTGTTCCTGCTCGCTCTCTCTTCTGGACTGAACAACCAAAGACGCTGCATGAAAACTTTGGTCTTGATCCAACTGCCATTTATTACCAGCCGCCACTGTGTATTGTTTTCACCCTGTGTGTCTGTGTGTGTGTGTGTCATCACAGAAAAATGTCCTGGAGACACCGACTGCAGCAGGAACTACCACAGAGGTGGTTGAGTAATTTGGCAGGTGTTTATATGTCTGTCTGTCTGCGGGCAAAATTTATCGCCGCAGTCACAACCTGTAAGATACAGTCGCAAAAACTTGTGTAGGCTGAGTTTGAAGATGGGCGTGGTCCGACCCATGAGTACTGAGAATTCATGTAATATGATAATAATGACTACAGTCAGCATGCTGACAGGCGTCTCTGCTGGTGTGATCCCGTCACAGTATGGCCTGTGGTTTGTGGTGCAAACACAGACCAACCACAGGACTGTGTGATTTAAGAATTTAGCGTCAATGCAAAAGGCAACGCAAAAGCTAAACACCTAAATAAAGATGATCCATGTGCTGATTGTAGGAACTGTGAGGGAAACCATATTCAATGTCAAAGAATCAGCTTTTTTGTTTTGATTTTCCCAAATTTATTTAAACAGTTTTGAATGGAATGAATGGACTGCACTTATACAGAGCTTTTCTAGTCCTATCGACCGCTCAAAGTGCTTTACAATACTAGCCACATTAACCCATTCACACACACACACTCATACATCACCTTCTTTTACACAAACAGCGCTTCTACCATACATACACACACTCATAAACTGATGGATCAACCATCAGAGGCGATTTGGGGTTCAGTATCTCGCCTACGAACACTTCGAAGGTGCGGACTGGAGGAGCCAGGGAACAAACGACCCACCCTCTGATTGATGGATGACCCGCTTTACCTCTTGAGCCACAGCCGCTCAAAAATACCTGTATATGCGTCTGTGGCTGATATTATTAATGCTCTTATGTAGTGTGACAGTAATCTTGGTTGTTTATGTTGTATTTACTGTTGTACTGTTTTTGTTGTCTTCTTGGTTTTCTTGGTAAGGATCAACTAAACTGAACTACAGGTGTGAGCCAACTATTTAAGTGTTAAGATGCATGTGTGTGTGTGTGTGTGTGTGTGTGTGTGTTTCTTATGTATCGAGTCCTCACGTTTGCAGACGCAGGCTCGGTCCATCATCCAGATGAGGGAGGAGCAGTACTCGCAGTAGGTGGGGATGCTGTACTGGGTGGACTTGAAGATGTGGCCATTGTGTTCCTCCACCTGCAGGGGGCAGTAGAGCCGCCGCTCAGATCACATTCATTCAGAAATGTATTGTGTATATTCCGAATACTTTGTTTTAATCTACCAAAGTATTTCTAAACTCACAATGTCAGTTTCCTTCTTCCTCGACTTCTTGCGCTCACGTTTAGGAGCCTGAAAAGAGAGACATTTGTTACTTGATGATAGTGACACATGTAATGAATTAATCTGTTACTTATACAAAATGTATATACAAGTGTGCATTTCACGTTAAAAGGTACACGTCAAAACTCTTTAATACTTACTATCTGCATTCATTCATATATTTATCACAGATAAATCTCAATAAAGTCTAACAGCTTGATAAAATATAAAATCTTTCCCAGCTGTTTTTACGTCCGACGATCTGGTGAATCTGATGCGTCTTACCCTGCCGATGGTTCCCTCCATGGGCTTGAACTCGGTCATGAATTCATCCAGGAAGACCTTAAAGGTGTTGACCCACACCTTCACTGGCGACTCGCTCCAGTCTCTCTGCTCCAGACGCATGGTCTTCTCCAGGATGTGCTCGAACAAGGCGTAAAGGTCCTTGTAACGGATACTCTTCCCATCATCCATCTGGGGGTGAGGGTAAAGAAAGGGAAAGAAAAGACGTACCTTATAGTTTGTATGAAAGTCAACACAGCATCAGTTACATTTACATTTTCAAGGGTTTTCTTTTCCATTGCGATAATCAGGTTTTTTTTTTTTTTAGGTGCCAGATGGGTGTCATGTCTGACTGGACCACAGGATACGGCACAAAACAAGAAGGATTCAACAATCACAGGAAAGTATCCAAGTATCACCTCCCTCTGACTGAAACCTTCTCTGACTGATCCTGTTGTGTTTGAAGCAGCTGAGAACAAAAGGAAGAGAAAAGAGCGGCGAGGACTCACGGCCAGAGCGGTGGAGTATGAATTGAAGATGTTGATCCTGAACTCCTTCAGCGCCTTCTTGAAGACGACGTCCACCATGGTGTCCTTCTTACTGTCCTCAGAATCCAGGTCAGCGATCTGCAGGGACAGCACAGTAACTTCTGTAAGGTCTGGACCCTGTACCGTAATACTCTGATGCAGGATGATTATTCAGCTTCAAAATAGGGTGTAAAGGCGTCTTCTTATGCAACGTTAGCACACAAATACACAATGTATGCAGATAATTTACTATTTCAAATATGATCACATACCCATAAGTCCTGGGGAGAGTCTTGGAGTGTGTATTAATTGTGTGTGTGTGTGTAGTAATTTAGACATAGTCGTACTAGTTGCAGTCATGGCAACGTAATAAATTAAATCTGACAATAAATAAGGCAAAAAGTTAAATCAGCATACTGCTCACATAACAGACTAAAATAATGTCTATAAGATTTGTCAAGTTCAAGTTAACATTTTTAAAATATATGTTTGAAAAAGGGCTGAAAACTTCTACATCTGAGGTCTGGACGAAGGAGATGATTTCAGCTCAGCAACAGGCTGCTGCATTTTTACAACCTTGTAAACTATATGTATATGTAGGCCTTGATTTGGTTATGGAGCCCAATAACTGGCATCCTTAAATCCAAAGATTTCCTGTTCTCACTTATCTCTTCAGATAATTAATATTTTAAGTGTCTAGATTTCCGCCTCCAACCTAAAACAACAGAGGTGAGCTCACAGCACAAAAAAAAATCACATTTAAATAATTCATCAGCAGCGTGTCATGGCCGAAACATTGTCCCAGTTAATCTGGTTCATCTAGAGACCACACTGTGGGTTATCCACATTAACGGGGGCCCTTTTCTGACCTGGCCTCAACATGTTTCTCTGGTGATCTGCTCACAAGTGGTCAGCTCTAAGTACGTCAGTTCACACCTGGTATTAAAATGTGTCTCCACATGCGGTGTGTGACATTGTTTCTGGCCAATCGACAGACGGGTCCGTCAATGTGTGTGTGTGTGTGTGTATGTGTGTGTGTGAGAGAGAGAGAGAAAGAGAGCGAGAAGTAAGGAGGGGCTAAGCGAATCAATGCGCATTGATTCACAGCTTTAGGCTCTACAGTGAAATAAAGTTTTATCCATTTGAAATAGTAAAATATTTTCAATATTTCGAAACTGTGCTGGGACTAATTAGACTGTGGCAAAAGACGTCAGTGGAGTAGGCGGTTCTTCGCTTTGGCCCAGGACGCATTTACACTCACACTGTGAAGAGAACGTGGCCACATGTGGCTCAGACGCATCTTGGGAGCGTTCACACCTGTTTTCACATCTGATTTTTTATTTACTTTCATTTATTGATGCTGAGGTGGAGTTTACCTTTACCAATTAAAATCTAGTTTATATTTAAGATAGTTGGTCTGGTGAAACTCACTATGCTGTGTTTGTGTGTGTGTGCGTGCGCTCAGTGTGCACAGGTGCAGGTTCACCCTCTCACCTTCTTCATGAGGAAGTCGTTCATGCTGCGGTAGTCGTGGGCCGACGTCAGGATGTGCAGGGCGTCGTTCTGCCACTGGGCGGGCTCCAGAGCGATGCTGCTGATCTTCACGCTGCGACGCCTCCTCATCTTGGGAGACGGCTCCTTGTTCTCCTTACTGTCCCTCACCCCCTGAGAGGGAGCCGCCTCCAGGTCCGGACTGTGAGGGGGAGACGGGCCTTCTGGGAGACAAAGATGGAGAAAGTGGGGAGGGGTTACAATGTGTATGTTTCTGTCGGCTAAAGACGGCTCATTGTGCGTTTAGGTGATTCACCATGCGTCTCTCCAGCTTCACTCCTGCTCGCCTGCTTCTCTCTGGACAGTTTCTTCTCTCCGTGCTTCGTCTTACTCCAGAATCGCATCTTCCCTCTCATCCTGCTAAATGACAAACACAGCTGATTAATTAAAGATCAATTCTTTTAAAAATAAAAGCATATCATGTCAAAATATGTCAGCGAAAAATGCTTGTAAATATAAAAAAGAGGAAAGAGAATCATGTTTTATAATTTCCCTAATGAACAACAGTGTCAGACAAACTTAGATGGTGTTTTTTTTTTTACAGTTCTGCTACAGTTCTGTAAAAGACCGATGTCATCAGCAGAAATAAGATTTTCTGTGAATATATACAAAAAGACACTTGGGGGGGATCTACCTTCCATCTTGACTGGATGTTTTCCTGAGGACCTCCACTTTGCCCAGGTCTCCTGATGACATGGTCTTATGGATCTTCTTCTGGTCTTTGTGAGAAGGCTGGAGAGCAGAGACCAGCAACCAGTTCAGAAACAATATATAAATTACATTTTACTCCAGTCAGCTGACCAGGCTCTGGCAGGTTTGTGGGTGGACCAGGATGCTGTGGTTTTGGGTGAGCTGAATTCAGTTGTTTTAGAGTTTCCTGTTTAACACAGGTTGGTTCATCTGGGGTAAATCATGCATTATGGACAGTGGTATTATATTATGGAGTAATATGCTTATTCTATAATCTTCAAATAATGCATCACTACAGTAAATGTTTGTGACTACATACAGTATTTAAGTAAAGTACTAGGTATAAATATTCTGGTTCTAGTGATTCTACTAAAATCTACTGATGAATTTAATGTGTAGAAATCAGAGATATCACAGAGAATGATGTTGATGTGTGAGAGAGAGAGAAACAGAAGTCATGCTCTGAGATCCTGTTAGAAAACGACGTTGTTAGTGAGAAGGTACTGGGCTCGAGGTGCGGACAGCTCCAGCATGCAGGAGCGGTGGAGCGCAGGCGTGACGATGTGTTCTCAGGACCGGTCGGTTGTCGGCGGGCAAAAATATGAGATCTTCAATGATCCACAAGCTGTCAGTCAAACTGATCTTACTGTGAAAATCTGTTCGTTGTTAAAGAAGAAGTAGGTATAGGGATACTTTACTGTGCTGGCAATTTGAGTTTAAATCTTATATTTTTTCTTTCAAGACAAGTTTTCTTCTTCACCTAAAAATGACAGATTTAATTTGATAAGGGTGCCGACAAACAAATCACTTAAGGCTTAACTTTCCTTCTTAGTGATGAAGTAAGCAGTCAAATATTTGATTACTAAATCAAAAGATATGAATCAATAACAGTCCTGACAATAAATTAATTATTTATGTGCAAGCTGTATGAAGTTTCAAGAATTTGAAACTGAAATTGTAATTGTAAATTTACATTTACATTTGCAATTTGAAATTTCTTTAGATTTGGGGATGTTGGCAGTTTAGTTTTTAATGAAGAAAAATATGAGAATAAACTCCAAAATGTTGAATGAAGTATCCCTTGACAAAGAGATGTGTTTTTGAGAGGGAAAGCGGAGTGAAGCCTGGAGGTGAAGCTCAGCTCAGCTGATTTTCAAACCAACAGCGAACCAGAGCGACGTGCAAAGCTCCTCGCTACAGACCAACCACGGTGACGGCCTGTGTTCATCAGTGGTGAAACAGCCGAGTGAAAGTGGAGTTAGAAGTGTTAAAAAGCTCCTCCCCAGCTGCTCGGCCAGGTCCACCTGAGAAGAAGGTGGATTTGGGGTGTTGGGGGGGGGGTGGAGTGGACAGGAGACTTGTTTGGAGGTCACGGGCCTCCGGAGATCCGGTATTTTACCATCTCTGAGTCACTGTGACAGTCAGCCTCGGGGTGGGTGTGTGGGGGAGACAGGAAGGGGGGCAGCGTGCGGGAGTGGGCTCGGATGTAGTATTCGTCGTCGTCGTCTGACTGGGTCGCCCCCTCAGAGTTACAGCGGGTGAGGAAGTCGGAGCGCGTCCGGGACATTCGAGCTTTCTTTTTGGGGCCCGGACGGCCCACCTGCTTCCAGGCAACCACAGGAACATCAGGTCAGCTGCTGCATCGTGTGTGTGTGTGTGTGTGTGTGTGTGTGTGTGTGTGTGTGTGTGTGTGTGAATATACATGAGGTTTTGGAACTGACTTCATGTGTACAGGACTATGAATCTAGTGAGAAGATAATGTAAACCTTTTATGAGGTAAAGCTTTAGGAAAACTTACAGTAAGCAGCCACAGAACTACACAACAGCTGCAGATAAATCCAGGAGAAAACATATCAACTATGTATAGAGCATTTTATAAAAATGTAACTTTAGCTCTGGGAGACAAGGTTGTTCAATCATCACAGGGACGACACCAAAGTGATTTAGTGACAAAATTCCTTTTAAAATTTTCCTCCAAATGAAGCAGTAAGTTATATATTTCAGCAGGTTTATTTCCCTGCCTCTCAGCTGTACATAAACGCTATCTGTGCTTCTTTATCCTGCAGTAAATCTGCTGTGTGTCTCTGCTGCTTTGATTTCTCTAAGTTTGTTATTTCCTGTACGTTTGGCAGCACAATGAGAGCTACTACAAACCAGTTCACTTAAAATCCGTGTATGTGTGGCCTATTAAAATGAGTCTGATTCTGAGGTCTTAACATAGACTGTATTATATTTCTGTAGATACAGTGTATATAAGGGAGTCGGTGAAAATATCTGATTCCAAAGTTGCAAGTTTTTTTTCACTTTTACTGTCAGGAACATGCTGTCAACTTAAAATTTGTCATTATTGATTTAGAGATTAGTCTGCACACATCGACAGATCAGTGTGTGAGAATCAAACGATGTGCATAACATAACGTGTGACGGAGCATGTGGGTGTGTTCACACACGCTTGTGTGTCCTACCTCTCTGTTTCTGGATCCAGCAGATTTAGAGTCATCTCTGAACATGGCTAGAGATCTTTCCTGGTTCACCAAATCCTTATCTGACCTGCAACGCACAACCAGACGTTAAAGGTTTTACAAAAAGGCTCAAATCTGTTTAGACATTTACCTGTCTTAAGTAGAGGCAAATTGACATGTTTTAACTTTAACTGCTTACATGGTCCTTTGTCGTGAAAGTTTGTGCAAATGAGAGCTACTGAAAACAAAATATTTTTTAAAAATGTATGGTCAAGATGCTTGAAATAATCATGATGCATTTGGTTGAGTGCTTTTAAGTGCTGAATATACATCAAATAATATTATGGTCTTGGATTTTTGAACAAAACATTTAATCAAAAAGTCCTTGGAGCTAATGCTGCATGTTTGGCGTCGTACAGAATTTGCACAGCCACAATGTATTTTGAGATATTATTAAAGCAGATTTGTTGCACTGATGAGAACCATGGCACCAGAATTGTGGCTTGTCCAAACTGCACTCAATGGTTCACTTACTTGGAGAAGGGCAGCTTGCGCCTGGGTGGGGAGAACACAGTGTTGGACGGTTTCTCCACCATGTTCACAATCACAGTCTGGGCTGAGCTCTTCTTCTGGGCTTTGGGGGGTTTGGTGTCCAGGATCGGGCTGGGGGCCTCCTGCACAGGCTGGATCACCTTGCTCTCCTGCTGATCGGGGGGGACCGGAGGCTTGGGCTCCAGGATGATCTGGATGTCCACCTCCGAGGAGCAAATCCCTTCTGGACTTGATCCATGAGCGGCTGAAGAGGGGACCTTAGAGGACGTGTCCACGTCTCTTATGGCTTGCATAGCAGTCCCATGAGCCTGCTCCATCTCTGATACCACCTCTAAGCCGACAATGGGGGTCATTTGAGAACTGGATGACGCTTCTCCTGTTTGAGGAGCTCTCTCTAGGGTTTGGGCTGCCAGCAGCTCCCCCTCATCCACTGGGCTCTCCTTCTGCATACTGATTAAAACCACTACCGGCCTTCGCGACGTGGACTCCCGCCTCTCTTTGTAAGATTTGCTGGGGCTTTCGAATTTTGGTTCATGAATTGGACTTTGGTCAGAAGAAATATAAAACGTTGCCCTGGGACCCTCCGTCACAGGCTTTTCATTGTAGTTTGAATCTCTCAGCCCCTCATGTAGCTCAGTATCTACAGCTTGGGTTTGTTCTTGAGGGGCTGTCGACTGGGAACCAAAACCAGGGCCTTCAGTCTCCATGTCCTCTACACTGAGCAGTTCAAAACTGCCATGACTGGCTGGGGATCCTCGGGGCGAGTGTCTGTGAGGCTCCTCCAGCTGAGAGCAGCTGCTGTCTGGGACTGAGTCCTCTTGCACAGGACCTCCCACACTGGTGGTCCGGACCTTCAGGAGCTCCAAGCTGAACTGAGCCTGCTCCAGCTCTCTCATCCGTCTGCTCTCTCGTTTGGACCGGTTCTTATGACTCGTCTCATCCGTGCTCCTACAGCGCTCCGAGTCCTCCTCTCTCTCAGTCTCTCCCACATCCAACGAAACTGGTTTAGAGTCTTCAGAGAGTTCTGCAGAGACGTCCTGGGCATGATCCTCCTGTCCCGATGTGGTGAGGTCCTCCATGGTTCCTGCATCCACCTCTGCTGGTGGACTCTGCTGTCCGCTGAGTCTCTGTGTTTCATGCTGCTCCTTCAGTTCTCTGAACCTGAAGACACGATTGGTGAAAGAGTCATGAAAGAGGCAGAAAACTGAATATTTCACGCACCAACATTTTTTTTTTGGCCACTTAGGGGCAGTGGAAACAAATCATCATCACCTTTCCAGTTCATATGGTTACCTACAGATGCCTATTCATGTACGCAGCAGATATGGAGAAACCTTATCATTCATTTGGAGCCATGAAGTGTAAGTCTTACATTCACTCTTCTTTCAGCTCTGCTCTTGTTTTTCACCTGCTCCTGAGAGAAAATATTTGTCTCTTAAGATCCTAAATGCTGCATTATATTCAGCAGCGAGGAGGTAGAATACAACGACTTTTGATAGCTTTTCCACTGAAAACAGCTGAAACTGATGCTGTCAGAGCAGTGAGCGTGACCAAAAACAGTCAAGTAACAGACCAGAAAAGCTCCACAATGAGCTGAAAGATGCTAAAACGATCAGTAGAGCTGACCAGAGCAGAGTCAGGTGATAATTCTCCGTGGGTCTATTTTTTATGAGCCACACATCCATATTGATTATAGCACCTTTAAAACCGCCTCCGTGATTTGTTTCCTGCTCCTAGAAGATGGTGATCACTGTATTTTACAGCTGAAAAAAGCTGCTGTTGATGACCTTGAGTGACTCAAGTAGAAAAAATAATATACTGTAATATTTTTAAAATCAAAATGACTTGAAAATGAATGGATTTGTGTATTATTTATTTTGAATTTTCAAAATTTTTATTTTTTTTGGTGCCTGACAAACATCCATCAAAATGTTGCATCATGGGGCGCAGCGGTGGCTCACCTGGTAGAGCATGTACCACATAGGCTTCATACTAACTGCAGCAGCCATGGGTTCGAATCCGACCCGCGGCCCTTTGCTTGAATGTTGTGTCACTAATGAAGTCAGCGCTGACAGTGTTCAGGAATTCAACCATTTCTTGTGCATGTGTCTAGTTTAAGTTTAATCTAATTTTCACTCATTATTATAATGGAAACTGTTGCGGATAAATTATTTTGAATTTCATTTTAAAACAAAAGGCACCAAAAGCCTCAGTGACTCGTCAACCTGTCAAAAAAAACCAGCAGCACATACACCTGCGCTCTAATTCTTCCATTCACCTGAGTCGAGACAGGTATCCTCTGCCCAGCGCCTGCAGCTGCGTCACAGTGCTGTGCTTCCGACAGTAGCGGCTCCTCTCTCTGAATCCTCTCCAGGCTGATTGAACCGTCACAGCTGCCACTGATCTGCGATGGCAGCAGTTTCTCCAGCTCCTCTGTATGACGACGGCGGAGTCCCGCCACTGCAGGAACCTCCTGCGCTCCGCGAAGCTCCTCCAGGCCGCCTGCAGACAAACCGCCGCTTCCTCCTCAATGCCCGAGTCGATGGTGGACTGTTTGAGGAGGCAGCATCGCCACCATCGCTGCAGAAAAACAGACAAGGAGAAAATGTTTTGAGTTACAGAGAGAGGAGGAAATTCAAGCTGCTTTCAGACAGAAATCCCAGTTTTACAACTTTCACCGAAGATTTCCAGCTGTGAGACCAATCAGTCTTGCTTTTCTTCAACAAAAACTTTGACAAAAACATTCCTGTGATTCACAGCAAATCTCCTCAATAGAAAGACTGACTTTCCTTTTTAGATATGACCTACTTTAAGTCAGAATTTTGGGCAGCAAATTTCAAGTTAAATTCCCTTTACAACCGACTAAAGACATCTCACTTCCTGTCAGGTTGACCTGGACACCGGCTTTAGATAAGACCCAAATAAGTAACTGATGTTTGTGGAATTTGATATTTTTGTTATTGGTGGGAGGTTACAGTGAGTCAGGACAATGTGATACAGTATGACTACCTTATCAGGCACCTGCATCTGGCAGACTTAACAGGAATGTTTATAAAATACTCTGCTGAGGACACAAGCTGACCTTAGAACTTAACTTCATTTTCTTCCATTTCAAAACTTTATTCATAATCACACTGTACTCTGGGTAAGTGCAAAAAGAAGTTGTTTTTTTTTCTGACAAACTTTCAAAAACAAAAGCTGAAATATTCATTTACAACCTCAACATTTTCGACAGTTGACAGTGTATATGTTCATGATTTCTCCTAGACGTTACAGTGTCTGTGCTTCACTGGCTCCTGCCCAGTGTTTCCCTGGTTCTGGACTGACTGGGTTCGACTGGGTTTGTTTTCTTTCAGCCTGACAAAGATTTGGACAGCTCCGCTCTGAGGGCGCTGCCAGAACAAACATACCAACAGTGGCCTGAGTGCAGCGTTTTCCTCCTCTGTCTGTCTGTTCACCGTTTGCTTTCCCTCATTTTCTCTTTCACTCATCAGAGAAATAACAGCATTAATTATCAGTCTGTAACATATCTTTCTCACTTTTATCTAAAAAAAAAAAAAAAGAGAGGTGAATAAAGATCTTTTTTTTTCAGATTCTAAAGCTTGACACGAATATATCCAGTTAGGAAAATAAAACTGTTTAAATTGTTATCATTCATTATCACTCATTAATTTAGTAGGCCCCTGAACTTTAAAGGGTATTTATGTCACGGGTCCTGTATTTTCCAGTTAATTTCCTGGAAACTTTCTTCATAATTTCCTAAAAATGATCTGATAATTAACTGTAAATATATCAATAAAAAAATCACAACAATATTTTCAAAACAGGTCTATGCAGTTTGGTGCTAAATATAAGGGAAATGGAGAAAGTGTTAGTTGCTACAGTTATAAAGCTGCTGCTTGTTATGTTTGAGTTTTTGAGAGAAAACTAGTAAATGATGAAGTCGGTAAGAGAAAAATAATTCATAAACAGATGTCAGTGTTCATCTGAGTTTCCTCAGACAAACAAAAATGCTTCAATCTTGATTAGACAGAAAATATTCCACACTCACATTTTACAGATCAGTCTCTGGAAATGATGTGGAAATATCTATTTTCTGCTGAGTCAGTGAAGTTTTAAAGCCTGGGGTTTTATTTATTGATCATCATATCAGTTAAAAATATGAAACTAAGGAAATGATCTGCAAATGACTTGTAATATATTGGACCCGCAAATAACTTTTTTTCTGTCCTCTCTGATCTGATTGGTTGCAACGATCCAAAAGTCTTATCATGTGGTCCTTCAGTCCACCTGTCCGTGGCGGCAGAGAGGTGAGAAGTTAAACCCCTGCAGATGAGTCCGAGGAGGCAGTGTTCAGTTACTTTAATGTCACCGTGTTGTTCTACAACAAGTCAATCCCTTACTTTATATTACAGAGTGAGAGCAATAACAGCTGGAGTAATGTGGAAACTGTTGTAAGAGGATAAATGCTCATCATATCTAATCACCATAGAGACCTGTTTGTCTGGAGTAAATGCTCAACTATTCATCACTTCATGTTAACACAGTCTAAGGCTAAGTGGCCTTAATGGACTATGGAAACTCCTGAGACGTTGGGTGGAAGGAATTTTGCTGTGCAGGATTGTTAGGTTGATTCATGGCGCACTAACAGCAGTCACTTCACAACTAATCAGAAAGAGACCACAGGAGCCAGTACCACCACCACCACCTCCCTCTTCCCGTCACAACGTCTCACCTGGATGGCACAAGCAGATCGTCTCATGCTGACAAAGTGCTTCCTCTCCAGGACGGCCCTGAAGCGGCGCTGCAGCGTGACGATTCGCCGCAGGACCTCCTGATGGAGGAGAGTCTGAAGTCGCTGACGCTCCGCCTCCCGCAGGAAAACCTACATCACACAGGACCGTTTTTAATTTTCATATTCCCACACTACAGCAGTGCACCACAGAAAACAGATGGACAGGTTTCCAGAATCCGTACCATGGTGTTGCCCACTTGATACCCAGCCGGCAGCAGGTGGATCCGTCTGAAGAACTCCCTGACTCCGGACTTGGTCGGGCTCGTGCCTCGAGGCAGCAGCACGTGAAAGTGACGCACAAAGTCCTGAAACATGGTGCATGTGAGCGGTCAGAAAAACAGGCGTAGATACAGTGAGGCCTCATGACGGTTGGCAAATACTGTCCGATTCAAGTTTCCACAGAAACAGAAAATCACTGCACATTTCATTATATTTAAAAAGCTTGTTTCAATTTCTAAATCATGTCCCAGAAATGACAGTAAAATAACAGTATTCCTCGTAGAGTAATAACTGTGAATGCCAACATCAAGCCAAATAACTAAGATGAATAATTCAGCCATATTTGTGCATCAATAACAAGCAAGATCAGCTTTTGTGCCAAAGTATGTGTAGGCATACTAAGAGTTTGACTCATGTTTTCAAAGGCTCTGAGGGCGCTTATAAACAGCGCCAAGAACAAATGTGCTGTACAAAAGGACACACAGAGACACACACAGACACACACACACACACACACACACACACACACATTTACATACCACTGAAAAAAGGAAGCTAAACAGAGGTTTCAATTAAAAAAAACTGTATTTTTTTGTTAGCCATCTCAATCACTGCACTATGAACTAATGAAATGGCACTGACTGTAGACCTGCTGCTTGATAGGACACTGTAGTGGTCGAGGATTACCTGGAAGGTGTACTTGATGCTGTATCCTGATTGGCGGATCCGGACGGTTTCCAGCATTCCTGTGTATCTGAGCTGTCTGAGCACCAGACTGTCGTTGAAACGTAACGGCAGCTGAGCGAGACAGAAAGAGATAGAGAAGGCGTCAGTACAACAGGGCGCAAACCGTCGGTCGGTCGTTACGAGAAGCTTCGTTTCAGTGATGACTCCTCCGCAGCGCAAATTACCTTCTCAGCGTTGGATCGAATGCACTTGACGAAATACGGCTCTGACTGATCAAGAGTCTCCATCAGTTTGGTGAGGGACGCCTGCAAACACAAACAACTGACATCACATCCTCATCCAATAACAATGAAGAAAATGGCCACTTTTATCTGACTATTAAACATAGTAAAGTTCTTGTCCTGTAAAAACAGTGACTGCATCTACAATTCAAGATTCAAGATTCAATATCTTATTGCCATTTCCCATACATGTACATATATTGCATTTCCATATATGAAATGCTGTATATGTAGATATAAAATAAAAACATATATGTAAATATTATATATGAAACCAAGAAGAAATTGCAGCTGTCAACAATAAAAAACTCTATATTGAACTTTTTCATCTGCATGTTTTTACCTGTTAATCTTTTATTACATTATTTCCACTCCTGCAAAATAATCAATCTGCTGTGTCACTGATATTTTTGTAATTCTCTGCTTTCCCAGCAGAGGGCGGCGGCAGCACTGACCTGGAACTGTGCGCTGATGCTGGGTGGTTTCTTCTTCTTGTGCAGGTGAAGCAGAGATTTGGTGATGCGGTCGTGCAGCGTCACGCTGCTCAGGTAGCGCAGAGACTTGACGTCCAACAAGTGCTGCAGACAGAGAAGCAGACACTCAGTGAACCAGTGTATTTAGCTGATATCTATTTAGATACTGTTTTCAGATGGTGTTTCTGGAAGTGTGGTTTTGTGTTGTGTCGGCTTCGTGTCTTACCTTGGGAAGGGTCGGCTTGCTTTTGCAGTTTTTGTTTCTCCTATGGGTGAGAAATGCAGTTTTCTTATTAAATGCAGAAATCAGTTTGTGCACAACAGCACCAGTACCATTTAAAAGATGGTTGATATAATGTTGCACGTTCACATTCATGAAGGTGAAAGACTCATTCCTAAAGGTTCCTTGAGATTTCCTCCTTTTTAGTTCCTGTTTGCGTCTTTCTTTGATAAATTCTGCCTACTACACTACCCATAATACAATGGGGTAGCATCTTTTCCCTGTTATAGGCCAACTTCCTAAGCACTTCTACTCAATGTTAACATCATGAGGTCAAGGAGAGTTAATAAGGTCTTAGGATAAGACAAACACAGTGAGGAGAGAATCTGACTACTCTTACACTAGGATTTTCTTTTTAAACCAACTTTATTTACACATGGACAATGAATCTTCCTCTCTTAACCACAAACACAAAACAAACAGGATTGAAATGTTGAAATAAGATAAGGAATACACAATAAAAGAGAGCAGCCATTATATTATTATATCAAAATATTTATATAAATTTAATGGCTGCCTAAAATAACATTTTCTTAGGTAGTATTTTGTTATGATGATGATATTGATAATTTTATAATATTATATAAATTCAAGTATAAATTCAATTTGCTTGTTCTTCAACATGACTCCTAACTGGATTTAAAAGAGAAGAAATCTATATTTATGGATTTGAAGCTCAGCCAATCATGTAAGGATTTTCATAAGTTTTGGATTGTGTCACAAGAGATGCTTTGTTGTTTCTACATTTACGTGGGTCTATTGTGGTCAATCTACAGTAACGCGTTGTTTTAAATGTTGCTGCTGCAAGGAATTATGGGACGGCATTTTCTCCTTTCCTTTCGTAAAGGAAGGTCCAGTGTTTCCTATGGCAAAGGAGATAACAGAGGAAGCATTGAAGCTCCTTTCCTTATCATTTAGAGAAATCCACCAGCTCTTAGGTAAAATTTCACTTGCAAAAACTCCCACTTCCTCTGGCAGCTAGACATGTACTGTATGTTGGGGAAAACTCCCGGCACATGTCAAAGATGTCAGTCCTAATATGAGACAGTAACAGCTGAATGACGTCCATGTTTTGTAATTTTAATCCATTAGCTCAGACCAAAAGTTTGGGGTGGAAATACAAAACAAAACACTGGTGTGAGTTTGGTTCAGTGTGTGTCTCACTCACAGTAGGATACCCTGAGCTCTCTCCAGGAGCTTGCTGTTGGTCGAGTTGAGGAAGATCCCGTCCTCTTCCAGGGCGGGACTTCCTGTCGAGGAGAGGCGACTCGACCTGGAGCTGCGACCGTTACAGCCAACACCGAAGCCATCCCTACAGGGGTGGGGGTGGGGAGGGGGATGGGGTGGGGGGTACAGTACAGGTGAAAACTCCTCATCACACAGAGTCCCTTGATTCAATGTTAACACCAAGTTTGAGATGTATGTCCCTCTCCAATCCAGTCACTGCAGCAGTCTAGACCATCTCTTTGTCTGCACCAGTTATATTGAACGTTAGATTTCTTAACTTTAATGATGATGAACTGAGGTCTTTGTCTTTGTCTTTTTCCCAACAGATTTTATCAGAGTAAGCTTGGTATCTTTACTAACAGTATTGTGATGTATTTACACTCAAATATTAAGATAGGTATTGTCCTCAGAAATCTTGCTATGACTTGTGTTGTGTGGGACTCACCAGCTGGCTTTCTCATTCAGGGCGTTGGTGCCTTGAAGATCAGATAAAGGAGTGCGCGGATTCTTTCTAGTGATGCCTGGATGGACGGAAAGAAAAGATACATGAGCTACACTGGACTGATCTGACATCTCAGTCACACCCTGTTTGTGAGCACAACATGTAGATCCAGCTCTTTGAGACCTACACAGTCCTTTCTGTGACGTACACTTTCACCTCTCTGAAGCACAACCTCCTCCACCATGAACATGCTGCATTTTATAGAGTCTTCTTCAGCCACTTCCTCCTCGCTGTGCTTCCTTTGGCCTTTATCCTGGTGTGTTCTTCCCCACTTTTATCCTTCTTTGTCTTGCTCTTGTCTTAGCCTGGCATTACCTTTCCCCAGTCAGCCTTAAGGAATATATGTGTGTGCGTGTGCGCGCGTGTGTGTGCGTGTGCATGTGTGTGTGTGTGAGATTGACAGATTTTTTTCTCTTCACCTCAGTGCTTGAGCTGGGTGTTTCCTGTTTACATATGTGGTTTTCTCTTGTTAAAACTTAAACTCACTGCTTTTACTGTACTTTTACACATATGCACACACACACACACACACACACACACACTTCATGATTGATACCACTGTAATGTTTGTATGGTAAACAGGAAGCTACAACCAGCAGAAAGTAAGCTTAGCTTAGCACAGATACTGGAAACAGGGGGAAACAGCTAGCCTAGGGTTAACAAAGGGAACAACATCTACCTAGCAGCTCTCATCTCTAGAGCTCTCTCATTAACATCATTTCTTGTTGGATTAATTCATAAAAATGTTCATGTAAAAATGTCTAAATTTTTATTTTTGGTGTAATATTGGATCATTTGAACCATGGGAGGGAAAAATCAGTATTTGGTGGAGCTGTTAACAAACTCATAGACATCTGAAATATGACTGCGCTGCTTTTTGTGAGACGTCAAAAGCCAAAAAGGTTAATATGTCTGGTTTAACCTTTAATACTGTGTTGTATTGAAAAAGCTTGTTTATCATCCATTGTTTAAAATCTTCATCAGTAACTAGTAACTAAAGCTGTGAAATAAATGTGGTGGAGCACAACGAACAATATTTCCATCTAAAATGTG